TCCCCTACAATTCCTTTTTAAACATCAATCTTTGTACTAAAATATTCTTTCTGTCATGATTTGTGGACATTAAGATCTAAAGAGAAGCGCCATCTCCTGGTCAGAGGGGGTCACTCCTGTGGCTGGAAGTTGGAGGGGATTTCACTGGGAGTCGGAGGAAGGCAGGCTGCCATTCAGCTGGCGTTTGACTGGGAAGGGCCATTTTGAATGGCTGCTACTGTACTTAGATAAGGCAGCAGGGGTGAAACACGCTACTGTCATGGTAGTAAAACCTCCAGCTGCTCTGATGAAACAACCTTTCTTTCTCAATGCAGGAGAAATATTTGCAGCCCCTGGTGGCCGTGAAGCTGCTGCTCACCAAGGAGGACTACAACAAGGAGCTGTCTGTGGAGTGCAGGGTGGAGGGCTCCGACCTTCGCAACAACGACGAAAGGGACAAGTTCCTGGGCCGCGTCACCTTCCGGATCAAAGTCGTAGAGTAACAAGAGGCGGCTCCGACCAATTAGCAGCAACAACAACAAAAAAGAAATGTTTGAATCAGATAAAGGTTTGGGTTCTACCATGAGAAGCTGCTTGGAATCACATGTTGCTTTGGTTTTTTTTTTGCTGATCTCTACCCTGAACAAAAAGTTTCTAGACCCGCCCCGTTTTATCCTCTACTTAGTTTAGATCTTTTTATTTCTTTATTGCTGATGTGATTTAATAACCTATAGCCATTGGAACCAAGCTGTTTGGAGCTGTTGTGTAATTGCTGACCTTTCATTTGTAACCTTCCTGGTTGCCAGGTTGAGTGTGTGGTTTCCACCCCCGAGTCTGTATGAGGGACCCTCTTACTTTCTGGTTTTTCCCGGATTTTAGATCTTACTATATCGTAGAGCTGAAAAAGTAGAACACTTCCAGCGTATCTCTCATCTCAAAAAGACTTCATCGAGACATACCTTGATAACCAAGTATAGCTGATGTACTCCCTTTGAACTATAAATACATAGATGCATATTTAGGGAATTATAGATAGTGCTGTGGCGCGCATAGCCGCAGTCCAGTCTTGTGCCGTGTGTCTGGCTGTTTGTCCGTCTGCATGTGTGTTTTTGTCCGTCCGTCTGGCTGCCTGTCTTCCTGTTTGTCCACGTCTCCACTGCCACTAGCCGACGTGTGGGTGAGCCTGGCTTTTCCTGAGGCGTGGCGGTTGTGTATGGATGGTGGCTGGGAGGGAACAGCGACGCTTTGCTGTTTGAGGCGGAGAGGAAGCGTATCGAAAAATAACTGCAACTATGTACTGTATACCTTTACGTGATCTCTATATCTATCCGGGTCTCAAAGATTGTTCGTTAGTTTACTCTCTTCTTCAGCCTGTGTATCTGATTGTCTGCTGATCTATTACTCTTTAATGTACATATATATATATAAATATATACATGCAAACACACACCACACAATATTTCCCATATTTACCCAAATCACGCTGTATTTTGTTCACAAAACACGATGTCTGTGCACTGTAAAGAAATATAATTTAAGCAAAGATTTGCAGAAGATTATCTAACCTTATTCAAAGCTATGTTTACAAAATCTTAAAAGGAACCCGTATTTAAAGGAATAACCTGTAACATCTCTTTTCAGGGTGCCTTAAGGCCTGATGAAATACATTATGGAATAAAAGTGATTTTGAAGAAAAAAGAAAATTGGTCCCCTGTGGTTTTTTTTTTTTCTTGTTTACTCTGTTTTAATTCATTTGATTAAAATTTGAAATTTCTCTGCCCATACATCGATTTTATGGAATAATAGGACAGTTACAGCAGACAGTGGTGGAAAAAAGTACTCAGAAAGTGTACTTAAGTAAAAGTACAAATAAACAAAGGGATAAATACACTATAAACTACTTAAAGTAATAATAAAAAGTAATTTCTGAATGAACCGCAGTGTTTCACAAAGATCAACCAACTCTTTTTATATTTAATACATGAATAATGTTATTTTAATGAACAATACTGTTGATCACACATGTTTTGTTTTGACCTTCTGTCAAAGGTTACATTGGGACTTATAATTTTGGGATAATTTGTTAAGTGAAATATCATTAAAGGAAAAATTTTATCAGCGAGGAATAATCAATGGATCATTATTTATACCTAAAACTAATATTTGTCATGATCACTGAGTCTGGGAGCGGCCATTTTTGCCCAAATATAGTAGCCCCTCCCTCCTGCCATCTTCC